CCTCAAATTCTTATTAGTCCCATGCAAAAAATCCCATGTGCAAAAAAATTAATTTCAATACTAAAAGGCAGCCAGACAAAGAACAGGAAAAAGCCCACACTGTAAGGAGAGTTAGTCAGCTTGCCTGCAACAGAAGAGTTTGATTACTGCCTCTCTGATCAGCCAAACCTTGTTTCTGTCCTGCCTTTCTTCCTGTGTATATTCTCTTATTTTCTATTTAAGAATCAAAGCAGAATAAGGCAAGTACAACTTTTCATTCTACCTTTTCTCCTGTGCAAAAGCAAGAACATGAATTCCTACATATGAAAACAATACGAGGCATGACTGCAGAAAACTAACAGTATAATTAAAGTATTACTGAATGAAACAAATTTCATTTATGCAGATGTATCAGACAGAGAGCACTAGCATGTGGGAAAAGAGGAGTAGGTGTGTTTTCTCTTTCCGTACATGCTGCATATCTGTGTTGTCAACCACAAGTTGAGTGACAGGTTAAGTGTTATTGTCCCCTTGTTTCCCTTAATCAAAAATAAATAAAAAAATATACAATTGCAAGAACTATGATGAAGATGATGAAAGAAAACTTTCTGATATCTGTAACATGATTGTCAAATATTCTAAATGTTATTTATCCTTTTTCCCTTTGGAAATGCTGTCTTAGGCCACACCTCAAAACATCGTATTGAAAAAGTACTATTTTTTTGTGAGCAAACATGTCATTTAAGAAAGTTTTGAATTTTAGAAATTAGGCCTTTTTCTCCTTTTTTTAAACTCCTCTATGGAAGTTTTTCTATGCAATCTTTAGTTAATGTATGCAGAAGCTATCATACTTCAAATGCTTTATGGAATTAATGATGGTAGAATATGGCATAAAAATGATGTAAGCACCATTTACTTTATTTGTGCACTACTGAGCTTCTCTGCCTCCTCTAGTCAGATTTAATCATGCATTCTCCACATACTTCTAACATAAAATAGCCCTTTTAATAAGATTCTAAAATCACCGGCAGTAAAATACGATCATCTTATTTGTCTTGTTCACAAGAATATCTTGTCTCTATTAGAGTTTTCTCATCATCAATATCTGATATTTTCCTATTGTATGAGTATGTGACAAGAAAATGTCACATGTAGTACTAAATGATAGTATGTTCCCACTTTTTATTTTTAGGCATGATTTTACATTCCTAAAACATGATACTTTCAAGAAATCACATTATTTAATATTCAGAATGAATAAAAATCAAGGATAAGAAACTAATGTGGATACCAGACTCCACAAGACTAAAAACAAGGCCACTTCAGTAATGTCTGAAAATGAAATTAGCACTGGATTTCTGCAGATGACCCCCTGTGGCATCACAGCAACAAAGTTATGCAAAGCTTCATACAACCAAAAGGGCCTCTGAGGGTTCTGCTTACTGATCTCTGGTAGAAAAGGTCACAGGCTACCTTGGAGGGATTTTCAGCAGGGCTATAAGGCAGGAAACGGTTGGAAGGAATGATGAAATATTTCACAGGCAGTTATAAAAATTTTATAGGGTTTGCATATGAAGCTATGTAACTGATCTGTCTGTAAAACTGTACAAGACATAAGCTCAGTAAAACTGCATTATTCTATAACATTTGCATTTTAGAATGAGCATTAGTTACTCAGTAAGATACATATAAGCAGTACGTCATTTAGCTTGCTAAAGAAGAAAATTAAGCACTTAAACTCACAGAATTATTATTCAAAGAGACAGAAAGCAGGGGTTAAGTGCATTAACAAACCAGAAAATATTTATTACTGATGAAAACTATGCTCTCCTTCCAGAGACTCTAATCAGGCATCTTCCCTTTAAGAACTAATGCTGTTTCTAGCTTTCAGACTACTCTTAAGGTGGCACTCAGGGATTTAGAGGAATACTTATATACATATATATAAAAAGAGAAAATATTCAGCATTTTGGAATAGTGGATAAATGGTGAATTAAGTGTGCACTTGACTCATGTGTCCATTAATCTCTCCTCTAAGATCACACTGGCTTGCAGTAGCATTTTGAAGCATTCATCTGAGTATCTTATTTTCTCCTTTTCACTGTCAGAGCTTTTGAATTTTCTGACTGAGTAGTACCATTGCATTGCATACACTGATGTTTCACACATTAAAAAAACAGGCATAAATAATTCCTTATACAGTGGTGGGTTTTTTATTTTGTTTGTTCGCTTTGATTTTTTGGTTGTTGTTTTTTTTTTTTTCACAAATGTAGCTACCAGCTCAAAACGATAAAGTGACTACAGAAAAATGTGTGTGACAAGCACATGATTTGGAGCTCCTGCCAGCAGTCTCCCACAGCAGGCTGGTGGTAATCATTCACTTTTCATCACTGTCTCATTCCATGCTTAGTATGAGAGCTTTGGTACCCTTTTCTAGCTGCTCATCCTACATAAAACCTGAAGTTATGATCTCCTCCAGCCTCACTGATACTTTTCCTTCATATCTGAAAGACAGTACCAAAAATTATACCAGTAAGAAGCCACCTCCAGCAGAAGGCAAAGCAGGCAGGCAGTAGCCTCAGGCATCTGACAGTTGTTTTTTCTGTATCAGGAAAGAGATGGTCTGGCTGTGCTTGTCCACCAGTGCTCTTCCACCACCATAATTTCTGATTAAATTCTGCTAAGCCCCCTTAGTTGCCTCCACCACCAATCAATAAAAGCAATACTGCTACTGCCAAGAAAATCTGATTTGGCTCTAACAAAAAAACTAAACTATGGAAGAAAGTATGTCCCTTTTCATAGGCAGCTTCCTCCATCTTCTTACTGTTTGCTTGTAATTTGCTAATTTCATGCTTGTGTAATTTAATATCCTCCCTCATTGCCTCAAAAGACGTCTCTATCTGTGCTAAAAAGCTATGTCTCTAAATACTCATAATCATACTGCATGCCAATGTCTCCTAATCACTCTTACCAGAAATGGATAAGAGCACAACTCAGAGGAGCACAAGAACTAGATACTTTTCAGAGCTCTATAATCCTTGTCCTTTTAAGTTACACTGTTTTACAGGACTGCAGTAACTCCCATTCCTGTGCTTCCAGACTACAGGGTATTTCCCAAAAATTCATCTTCTAAAGATGCACTATTTTTTCCAAACAAATCCATGTGACTTTGGTTTGTACACCACCGCTTAGATGGAATAGCTCATAATCTTCTTTCTCCCATATTCAATCAACTTATACCTTTTGAGCCTGAAGTTAATTAAATCAGTTTACAAGCTTGCAGCAAGTCCTAACATTACACCTTTTCCTAGAAACACTTCAGTTGAACCTGTATTGACTCCACCTTTTCTGGAAGTTCTTTTTCACAAAGCTTCTACTTTTTCAAGAAGGAAAATCAATTAATTTCTTGGTAATTCTTACTTGATGCATCTATATGCCTCTGATTGATTTTACAGGCTCTACCTTAACCTGCAGTATGAAATAAGTAAGCCATGAACTGTTTGTGAACCATCGCTATCATGTTTTGTTCACTGTATCTGGAAATAGCTAGAGAAGACAAAACCCTTAACATCCACAGACTGTTTCCTGAAAGGAAAATATCCAAAATTCAAAACCTTGTATATTCTAGGTGATTTAAAGACTCATACCAATGTTATCAGGGGTTAACCAAGCGTTTAAAGCAGACTCCAATAAGTTCAAGGATGAGGAAAAGGCAATACACCATCAGAAGAAACAAGAACCTTGGCTTTGTCAGCAGGTAAAAGCTGTAGGCATGTGTTGCAGGGAACAATATGAGAGCAACTCTAAGACAACGGACATTTTGGGGATGTACCCTCCATGGAAAAGCCTAGTGGGTCTCATGGGACCCTGAGCCACCAAAAAATACCCCAAAAGGTCAAAATATAAGCAGGTGATGTTGAATACCCACTTACGACCTTGCTTCAATGTGTTCATCTGTGTGTCTTTTTTATTATCATTCCTTTTTAGAAGGCCCTCACGGAGTTCATGGAAATGATAAGAATAAATATTCCAATACCCTGGAGAAGGAACACAGCCAGGGACTGTGACAAATTAATTTTACATCTCGTCCCACATACTTAGTGTTCTGCAAAGCTGTTTGGATATGCTTCTGGCTATTTGCCAAGGAAAGTTGCCACAGCTAGAGGAAACTCCACCAAATTAGATCTCCTCCTTCTCCCAACTGTAGAAGAGACAGATAAAACTGTGCTTTGAATTTAGTCTAAAAAAATTCTGTTTCTGTGGTCCGAATAGAATAGAAACTACCATCCCAATTCCATAGAAGACGTTTTATCAGATATTGCAACGACTGCAATTTTTAAATTGTCTTTCACACGGCACACTATGGTGCCAGTAAAACCCCAACATATTGTCTGGAAAGTTATCTACAAAAGATTCCAAATGACATTTTAACAGAGTGAAAAGTGTCTGAAGACAGTGTGTAGGTCAAACAAATCAACGAATTTAATTTCTTGCTCTCTGCTACACTAACTGGTTCAACTACAGACAGCATGATGTTATCCCCCTCCAAGTAAGTTTTCTGACTGCCTCCATCAAAAATTAATTGAAAGAAGTGAATTCTATAATTTAAAATGAAATGCGCTCAGCAGGTGAACAAGCTTTGTCAAGATTGATTACTGAGTATTGATTTCCCTCCAATTGTAGAAGTTACACTCCACAAGGCCACCTGCACATTAACCTAGCATATATAAAATCACCTCAGGCTAACATCTATCAAGAGGTTTGTATTTTTGGAGGATGCAGTCTCTAGCTCTTTTCCTCACCTGTACATTCAACGACTTTCATTTGGACACTTTGTACTTACTGCACCTTAAATAAGTATTATTTGCATTTTAACTTCTCAGAAAGAAATTGAGATAAGTACTCAGGAAAAAATTCACATAACCTAACACTAAGCTAATTGTAAAAATTGTAAAGAAAATCAGACAAGTTCTCCCATGACAGAAAAGAGATACTGATGCAGCAAGAGCAGAGTGGCTTACTGTGGCCTCGAAGCTTCTGCTTGGTCTGTCTGAAGCTTTTCACCCCCTTCCACTTCCATGGTGCAGTAGACAATCCGATTGGGAGCAACTGACTTTAAACCTTGTACCTCCATTATAACAATCTGAGGAAAAGAAATAGTTATCTTTCAGATAAAATTACACAGCACAATTACTGCAGTACTAAGATCTATGGATATTGAAAAAAAAAAAAAAAAAAAAAAGGAAAATCCCCAAAATCCTGAAGTTCACTCACTCAAATATTGAGACAGACGAAAGTTTTGATTTTATCTTCTTTTTCACTTTCAACATCTAGAAGGAATTGAAATTTTTGCTTTGTTTCTACTTGGACAGTGACCAAAAACTCATTCTGGTCATAATTTAAATGCCAATAGTGCAATTTGAGACTAATGTCTAAATAGAATTCTAAAGCTTTATACATAAGAAACTATCTTTTAGTAAGTCATCTCTAAGTGAATATTTACAGAACAAATAGATTATTAAGTCTGATGGTAGACAAGTAACTACTAAATTTTGTTCATCTTTAGAAAGGTAAATTATAGTGCAGCGTCTCTGGAGGTTGTAACTCTTGAACCTCAGAAGAGATTTGGTGGTGTGCTGAGCAAGAGGCAGGTCACAGCACTGATATCAGCTCCTGTAATTTTTTTCCCCACTATGCACATCCCTTCCTTTTCCCAGTGCAGTACTTGCAGTCAGGTTCAGTATGTATATGAGGAAGAGGGAGCACAGAAACAGAAAAAGCTACCGCTACCAGCTGTGCCCTTCAAGTTTTTCTCACCAGGGAAATTATGAGCTTGGCAGATTCTACAGATTTTCACCTCCTCTAGACTACTCAACACTAGCTCAGAAAAGCCAAATTCAGCTCTACTTTAAATGCTCTCCACCTTTTATAAATCTTGTCACATTGTGAACTTACTGGAATTTTTGCATTTCAGATGTTTTTAATTCAGAAGACTTGAGAAGACAGTCAGGTTCCCCTGCTTTCTTTGGAAAAGCTGCTTTTCTTGCCAGTTCCATTTGGGCCCATGCAAAAAAACTGGGAAAAATGTACTCTATCAAGAGAAGCTGCCCTCAACTTTAACATTAACCCATTTGTTTAATTTGTTTTAAAGGTTTCAGAAGTAATGACTACTTTTGGTCTCATTAGAGGCAATTGGTTTTAGGTCAGCAGGCAATTACTAAAATATGTTGCTATTGAACTTTGCATGTGTGCCACTTTGCTCCAATTCAAATAAATTAAACTAGACCTCGCCCTCAGCTATGAAATCCTTTGTACTTTAAAACTCCCAGAACGTTAGTAATAGTTATATGTCTTGCAAAATTGCTAGCTTTTAAATATTACAGTGAGACAACAGTCATTGATCATTTAGACCATATTTATATTACCCGTAAATTATCAGTACTGCCTATTATGGTTTATAAAAACAGCAGTTCAGGGAGACTGATCAAGTCATCCCTCTCTTCCATCTGTTGTTCTGGAATTCAAGTGGATAGACAGCACTAAAGATCCTTTTAGGTAATACTGCCTATATGGTCTTTCCACATACCAAATATGTAATGTCCTTGCTGAATACTGACTTCATGTTTACTCGTTTTTATGTTGACACTTCTTTTCCTGAGTTTCCAACTTAATTGCACTGTACATTTTTCTTTGATAACAATTATGGATTCCAGCACTGGAAAAAAGTTGCATGTTATTCCTTCCAAAGGAAACTGTCACTAGTGGCTGTATTAACTCATTAGCTGATAAATTAGCTTCCTAAATGCTTGTCTATTTTTGACACTGTCCAACAGCTGAAGAATATAAGTAAGTCTTTTCCTACTACTATGTTTTTTATTTTTTCTTCTAAATTTCTACAAACAGGATATTTAAGGAAATATTCAACTTGTAAAAACAGTGGCTGCTGCTTGCAGCAATGCTCAGGAATGTCTCTGACCTTAGTCAGTAAGGTCCCCTCTAGAACACTGTTAATATTGCTAGCAAATTTTACTATTTATAATAACAATGTACAGTGATAGCAAGAACCTGGCCACTTTACCCCGCATCTAGAAATTTTGGGGTTCTTCCACTCTATCCTGTATGATGTATATTTCCTATTCATGTCCTAGGCCTCAACAGGGATTCTACTGGTTACCCTACAATTGAGTTCCCACACAAGATGTGACATAGATACGTTTATGTGTTATTCAAGACATGTGAAATTGTGTACATTCAACATCACGTTTTCAAAAAAGGAAGTACTCTGTCTTCTAGGAAATGCAATCAGTATTTCTTATTTGGCCATTTACGTAGAAAAAGATTACATCTTCCATATTTGAGTCTTCATTAATATCAATTCAACTGTTTCCTTTTGCCCTTATATCTTGTGAGATTTTGCTTCCCAAGAGCAAAATATGCACATACTGTTTGGCAAGAGAGTCAAGTTATGTGATTACTATCATGTCTCAAATGAAAATCTGCCCTACTAAAAACTATCACATGTAGAGTAATACTTTAATTCTTTGCCTTGCACTGCATGAACTGTAGATTAGTTATGTTGTAGCAAACCTCTTTATTGCTGATGGGGAAAAAGGAAAAAAAAAAAAGTAGTTCTCCAGACCTAATAGTCTACATATCTGGTATAAGAGCAGAGGGGCTATAAACAAAGCAAAGCAGCTATAAATTTACCAGAAATTCTATCTCCTGTCATTTTTAATTTCATGATTGTTTCAAACTTTTACTGTGCTTTTCCCCTAAATATCACATCATTTCTAGTACATAATAGTTCTCTCTAGAGGGACAGAGAAGTCTTTTTTTGCTCTTACATCTATCATCAAGCACACTTTCTTGAAGACCAGAAATATTACAGCCAAACTTTTTTGGTACTTTTAAAATTATTCAGAACTACTCCTGAAAATGTTATTTATGGATCTTTCCAGGCTTGGTATTCCCCTTGAGGCAGAAATGGAACATGTGATGGAGGCACACAGGATTCAGCACAGGAGTTATAAATACTTCATCTTCTCCTATACTTCAACACTAAGGACTGCACTCCAGTTTTACATGCTTGATGAACTAAAACTTTTTCGCCTATAGAATGATGGATCTTACTACCCTTTGAAAGCTAAACGTTGGGCTTTTACATTATTAGTTAGTAATACTAAAATTGCATATAGTGGCATAAGTAATTTCTCTTTTATGCAAAGAATTAAAACTTCTTCATTGTCCATATTTGATGTTTTTTATTCTGTATCCTAAATGATGAAATGGGAAAAAATTATCTGAATTTTCAACACATAAAAAAAACCAGAAGCTCATTTCACTTGAGAAAAAAAAACTATTGAAAAGATAAACAATTCTTATTTCTTTTGCACTCTAACAATTGAAATATTTCTTCTGTAACATTACCTGCTGTCTTAAACAAACTGAAGCCACTTCAAGTGCATAACACAAGTGTGGCACCTTCTGACCAAGAAATACACAATGCACACTGTGGTAATGTTTTGATTCTACTATTATTGAAAGCAAGATAAGCATTTCTGGGTATGCCCATTTGCAGAATTGGACCTGAGTTATGAGGCCAGGCTGGAGGGGGCTTTAATCAATCCTGTCTAGTGGAATGTGGCCATGGCAGGGGAGTTGAAACTAGATGATCTTTAAGGTCCCTTCCAACTCGAACCATTCTATGATTCTATTCTGTCATCAGAATTGTTTAAATAACCTAATGTATTTGTGGCTTCTCTTGAAATAGAGATTTATACAGATTAGTACTGCATCCCTACAGGCCAGACTTCCTGCATAATCTCAGAAAATATACGATAGATTCTTGAGCAAAATAGAGAAATTTATAAAAACTACTATGATCAACAGTAAAGCAAAATCACTGTGTTTTCTCTAAATGCTTCTAGGGAGAAAATTCTATTAGTTTATAAAATTCTATGAACGCATTCCTGATAATAACAGTATTTATTTATAACATTTAAAATTAGACTTAGCTATTTCATAAACTGGAATTCATTTAACATTACATTTGTGTGGGAGATAAAGCTTCCTGCACTACTGTGTGGGTCCAAATGCAACTACTGCTGCAGGAGAAAAATGCATCATACAGCTGTATTCTAAATCCTAATTACCAAAGCATAATATATACAAAGCATAATTTGCTTCTTTAACACAACATTTTAAAATTACCAAGAAAGGACTAATAACAAAAGAGTATCAAGACAGATATTCTAGCAATATAAGCCACCAACAAGTTTTCTTTGAAATTTGTGATTACCTCTAATGTGAAGGAGAGAACCACATCAGACTTTGACAGCTGAACTTCATTTTCATCTCCTATGTCCAAGAATGCAGAATTCTGTGACCGCTTTAACTTCTGCAGTTTGAATTCTGGCCCACCTTTAGACACTGGTAGACTTTCCAAATTTGCCATCAGCAAATTCACTGAAGACCGCAACTCTTCTATGTACATGTTCTCCATTTCCTTTGTAACAAATTTTGGGAATTTTCTTTCCTTGGAAAATATATTTCAAAAGTTAGGGCAGAAAAAAGATTTCCCACGTTATAAATCACATTAATTTAAATTTACCAACTTGCTTTCAATTAAGAGACAATAAATAAAAATATAATTCATAATTTCAGTGTCCATCTATTTTTAGGTCTTCAAAACAGTAACTGAAAGACTAATCCTGACATATCAATACAGTACAGTTAATCTTGGAAAGAAGAAATAAAGTAAAAATGGAACCTTGCATCCCCTAATCATTTCACTATAAACCCAAGCTGAAGAACCACACATTAGGTATTTCTACTTACAGGTGTTTTAAGCATAGTAATTAATAACACATATTTAATGTTACTTTCCATATTTTATAAACTGGCATTTATAAAATGACCTGTCCACTGGTAGTTTTGTTACTTCATCTATTTCCCATGCGACCAAAAATTAGTCAATCACATTCATGCTTCTAAAACCATGACAAGAAATTCCTATCAATGTGTATCAATTCCTATCAATTCCTAATAATGGGCCATTCCTTTTGAAAGTAATGTTTACTTGCTATGCACAGGTTTATTTTAAACAATAATCTCTTTCTTAAACATTAGAAATAACTTAAAAATCTTTTTTTCTCCCCGTAGAAATTAGACAACAGTACTTAAATATGGTGTTTATAACAATAAACACAAACAAAAAACATATGTACATGTAAAATGCATATATGAACTCATATATAGACAATTTTTACAGTTTCTTCAAATATTGAATACTAGATGCTTAGGAGAGTGTCATTCAAGATTAAACTAAAATGCAGATTATTCTAAAATATATGTTTTACATGTAGATGAAAAACAAACACCAATCCAAATATATTCTCTGCAAAGATAGGCACTTTGCTCCTTAAGGCAATTTTTATAGTTATGTGTTGTAACGCCTGTCATAAAATGTTTTATATTAAAACCTTTGATTTCGTTTCAATAACAAAAACCAAGCAAGCTGACTCTCACCAAAAATTCCTGCAGCAAGTCATGTGGACTGGCTCATCACAGCAGGATAGAGCCAGTAAATCACATATTGAAAAAAACCCTAAAAATAAAAACAAGTAACTTATAGGTAGAGACTAAAAGCACAGGCCAAGGCACAGGGTTGTCTAACAAAAAAGCTCCGAATCGTCAGTAGTGTTTTTTAAACTACTATATCCTGTGAGGATCATTCAAAAAATTATACACTCACACAGAAGACAAATAAAACAGATTGTTATTGTGTTGTCAAAAGATCTTTACTCTGGCTAAGATGCTTTTTCTGTCCAATGTAAAAAATGAGGAAAATTGGACTTGCTGTTGAAGGAAATGTTGGATCACACAGGATATGCCTTTCCAATACCAGGTTTTGCTTTCTCCCTACCTCAGCTGTCAGACATTCTTCAGAGCAGAAATGCACCTGCCAGATTGTTTTCAAACAATCTTCTGCTTAATTTTAGAATCAGAAACAGGAAACACACATTATGAATCATCCCACTCAATCTCATATGAAGATATGTTCTTGGTATAAGAAAGCAATCACTTACCCTTGCCATTTGTTCTGCCAGTTGTAGCCGTCCATCTAGTTCACGTCTTATCTGGGCTGCTTGCTCATCTCCATTATCCAACTTGGACAGAGAACAAAAATAAATCAAACTGTGAGAAATGCACTATATTTTAACTTTATAGCAAGCCATGTAGCTAAAGAACAAGAGAAATTCATTTTCATCTTAAAATCAGTGAAACACTTAGCAAATACACAGCTTTGAGGCTCACCAAGATGAAAGAAATATAATGGCCACCATATAGTCAGAGCAGTCAGGGTTTCTGAAGGTTAACAAGTGCTTCCTTGCATTTTTAATACTCAGGCTGTACAGAAAGCATATTATTTCTATATAAAAATAGTAGCTAAGATAATTTCTCCATGAATCAGAAAACTGGAATGACAGATTGGCTTAGAAATGTTTGCAAGGAAATTTGCTCTTGGGTGCCGTGAGTTATAGGCACACATAGGTATATAGAAGAAAAATGTGAAACATTGTGAAACATGTTGAAACCCTAGTGCATTTAGCATATAGTTAAGGTTTAAGGATACCTGAATCGTTCTTGACTAAAAGAAAACTTAAAATGTAAGCAATGCAAACTGTCAAAAACAAGTTCTTTAATTATATCAGATCTCCAGCTAATAAACCTACAGTTAGCTTGGGAAATTAGTCATTTTAATAAACTAAGGTTTTTCAGTGTTTTTTTCTCTAAGACTGCTAATCTGAGCGCATCATGCCAAATATGTAACACCACCTCCTTTACAATGCTCCTCAGTTAAATTCAATGCTTCTTAAATCATAGCATTCATGAAAATTAGAATTCCAATAATAAAAACAACAACAACAACAATAAGAAAACAACCACAAAAAAATTTAAAATGCACTATACAGTGCTTACAGATCAATTAGAGCAATGTGCTTAATGCAAATCTGACCATATTTAGAAACAGGATGAAAAGTGTTTCACTGCTAGTACAGAAGTGGTAACAGAACATGGAATCTGCCACCTGTGCAATCTGGCATCTTACAAGATTCTTGCGGAAACTGAGCCAGGCTACCAGAAAGAAAGAGAACAAAACCTGATGGCATCCCCAGAAGAAGCTAAGGATTGTATCAGAGAATAGAAGACGAACAATGTGCCAGACTGGAAGGGTTCTCCCACTAAGCCTGTCAATAAATCTCCTCCTAACTTGACTGTGAGCATAAAGGGCAAGACTATTCTACATGAAAGAAAATGTTTCAAGTTTTCAGAATACAGTTATAGTATTCAGAAAATTCCTAAGTTAGTATTCTTCCATTTCTCAAAAGAAAAGACTGCTTATTGAACTTGTCACTGAGAATATTTCTATTTTCCTTTGTATTATAACCACATACTTTTGTAATTATTTTTGTTTTCTCAGTATGAAAGCCTGTCTTAACTCTACATTGCTTTCCATCATCTCTTTGTACTTGAGTACTTAAAAATGTGATTTCCCTACTTATTTATTTTAAAACTTCAGTTTTCTTCCTGAAATACTTATAAATTCTAGTGCTTTTTCTGTTTGTATATGTTTTGTAAAGTATGGAAAGAAGCTGAAGAGGTGAAAAGAAAAGAAGGCTGCTTTACTTACAGAAAAGAGCCAAGGTAATAATGACTGGTAGGTCATTCACATCTCCCAGTAAGATGTAAAACTGTCAATGTTATTATTTTTGCAGTATGCAAAATGAAGTGATAATCAGAAAAACGGTAACCTTGATACCTCATTCCATGCATCATTCTACCTGTTTTTATTCTAAACTCAAAAAATATAGGAAAAACAATTTTACAAGCAATGCATTTAAGTGATTATGAATGTATACTCAATCATTATTTATCCACTGACTATGAAGTTAAAATGGCAGGCAGATTGAGAAAATTCTGGAAATATAAGCAACATTTGGAATTTCCAAGTTTTGCCCACTTTTTTACTTGATAGAACCCATCACATGAATGGGGAGAAGTGACAATCATTAACATCAAGTGTACCGTTTTCCTTAATTCCATATTTGAGTATCAGATTCATACCTAGGACATCTGTGGATATCAAATTATGACAACCATTGGAGTAATTTTCAACTAGGAAAAAACCAACTAAAAACCAGAAAAGCATGACACTGCATAAAAATGAATATAAATATAACAGTGCAGAACAGCTACTCAGATTTTCTCAGTATTGCAATTGAAGTTTGGTTAAAAGAAACCGCTAATTTGAAAGGATTTGTAATAGAGGCTTTATAAAAAAGGTTTTGTTTGGGTTTTTTTAAAGAGTAATTCACATTTACATGGGCATCACATATAATGCTTCCCACTCTTAAATATAAAGTCATGTTTTTCAAAAATTACAGCATTAGATATTATTGAAACAGAGAGTATCATGGTTTAGGGCAAATTTGGGAGATAACTTCCAAAGGGCTCCCCTGAGGAAGTAAACCCCAGCTCCCCTCCCCCAACTGGTTCGGGAAGAAATTTCCTCAGAGAGAAGTGGAAAAATCCTGTTTATTCAACAGGCAAAGCGCTGCCCAGTACAAAAAATGAACGATATCAAACTACAAAACCTCTCGCTGCTCTGAAGAGATGACAAACCCAGAAAGTCTCTCTCCTGTGGTGGTAGCTCGGCTCAGTCTGTTCTCAGTCTCTCTGGCGCTGGAAAATGGCGCTGCCCAGGCCAGGCCCCGGTGGCCGCAGGTGCGAGCTCCTGGTGCTGCCCCGGGTCCCCAGTCCAGAGCAGGTTCAAATAATTCCAGGGGGAAAAAAGGAAAAAAAAAACCCAAAAAACCAAACAAAACCCCCCCAAACAAACAAAACAAACAAAAATACCCCAAAAAAACAACTTTCCAGGGAACTTCCCTGCTTCAGTTAGTCAGAAACGAACTAAAAGCAAAGGAGAACTCTCTCTGCTGTCCACCACGGTGACACAGTGCAGGAGGACGAGACGATGGAACTCCTGTCTCTGTGTTTTGAAAACAACCACCTCAGACATTCCATCACTTCTCCTTCCCCCTCCTTCACTGTCAAATCCAGCCTTAAAGGTACAAAACTTATTTCTGGGCTAAACAGACAAATGGGGATACAATTCAACATGACAAAGTCACCCCAGGACAGAGAGTACATAGAAATTATCTTTAACAAAAAACCTTTCAGCTTGCTGCAATAGTAATTGTACCATACCATAGCTATTTTATTCATTTATTGCATCAACACTAGAGATGCTCCCATGTCACTTAAACCCCACATAACCAGTATTGTATGCTAGCAGCAGGAGACCTCACTACAGAACAGTCTACAGACACCAGAGACCTGTTTTCAGTAAGTCAGATACATCAGAAGTTCTGACCAAACAAACTAATGATTCCCCTAAATGCCACACATATGGCATCGGAATCTTGTAAAACCTAGGCAAAGACATTGACTCCCCTTTTGAGGGCTAGTTAATTCAGTAGGAACATTCCCAAATGAGCAAAAGCATGAGAAAGACAGGTTTTCTTTCTGCAAAAATGATTATGTTTTTTAAAGCTTCATCAGAAAAGTTAGTACTTATAAGTGACTATATTTGGGTGAATAAAAAGTTACTTTGAAAAAAAATGACAGATCATCATCTCTTTTTTTTCCCCAATGGTGTTACACTAAAATAGCTTTCTAAAAATAAACTTACCACCATCAGATATCAACCTATTAATTAAAAATATTTTTATTCTTTAATGCTTGAAGTTGCCTTTTTTTTTTTTTTTTTCACTCTGAAGGGGGAAATCGTCTTTGGAAGTGGAGTAGGACCATCCTCAAAATGCAAGTTGACCAACAATTCTTATTGGGAGAATTTCAGTTTCTTATATAAGTGTCCACCTCTGAAAGACAGACTTTAGTTTTTTACTCCAAATTTCTGCTCTAACGATTCCAGCCTAAACACTTCCTTGGCTCTGAAGAGACCATTATAGATAATAGACAATATACTGCTTTATCCATAATAACAGAAGTGGTGACCATCTTGTCAAAGAGTTCAAGCAGTATCTTGCTTTGAAGTAAGGATCTGACATTTAGTAGGATCCCAACTGTGAAAATCAGCTCAACTCTGGTCACATTACGAACCTTTGAGAAATCACTTTAGCAGTAGTCAAGCTACAAACAGCCACTACCAGAGGCTAAATCAAACTGCATTCAGACACATCTTCAGGTTGTGCTGCCCTCTGTCTTGAATCTGCATGAAGTCAATGCTCCTCCGTTTATCTGGTCATCTTAGAAAGACTATAAACTTATCAGAGGTAAAAATTACTATTCAGAAATATCATGCTATCTTACTTGACAAACTGTTGCTTAATTTGTATGCCCGAACAGCACAGAACAGAAATACAGCTGAATAAAGGAATGTTTCTATATTTTAACAGGTTGGAAAACTATGGCATTCTTTATGATTTCTATTAAAATACTTTTTTCTCTTTTAAAATTACTTACAAGGCTGTAATGTACCAGTGTATTCTGGTCCAGAATAAAAATTGTACACTAGAAAAAAATCTGGTTAATGTGCAACTTAAGGCAAAAAAGATACTAATGCTGCCAGGAGGTGCTGTGCTAAAGCCCCTGGCACACGCCTACATTACTCTACACACAAACAAAGGCAGATACTCTATGCCCAAGAAACGAGACCAGCTTGTGCATAGATGAATACAGAACTGCTGAAAGTTACTGTTCTTTACCTTCACAATGCTCAAACTGATAGTTCCTCCATGTGACTATTTTATTACTGCTGTTAGCTTCCCTGCAGCTTTCTAATTCACAGTAACATCAACATGAAACTACATACATATGCCCATAGCATTATAAATTTCTCTACATTTAATGATGTAGAGAAATGATGGTACACATATCTAAGTACTTGCTCTTCTTTCTGCAACATGGAATCCAAACTATTTTTTTATTCTGTGTGACAGAAATGCTTGTTTTTCCTTTATAGCTACCTTTTGTAACATAACCAAGTCTGAGCCCTGCTGAGCTGAAAGGTTGCTTGCAGATGCCCCTGTGAGGTAACCTGCTGGATCCATCCCTGACTACTGGCAGACAGCTAAGGTAAAAA